AGAAAGACGCTATATTAATTTTTCTCTCATTTTTTATTTATATAACTTAAATTCTCTGTCACTTTTATTTATTCAAATTGAATAATTTTTTTTAATTTTGTGCCAAATGGATAATGTCTGGATGAAATATTTTCAAAATAATATATCAAATTTATAATTATTTGATACAGTATTCAATTTTAAAGATAAATTCCTTCATTTTTAAAATTTTTTAATCTCACTGTAATTTTATTTTATTACAAATAGTATCTGACTTATTTATTTATGTCATGGTTTAAAAAATCATATAATTATGTTATAAAATTATTCAATTATGTCGATAAATTCAATAATATCTAAAACCATATTTTATTCAAAATATTTTTTAATGATAAATATATTTCAGTGATTAATATTAAATTTAAATATCACGTGCATATGGCTAGTTATAGAAATGTGGTTCAGCCCACATGGAACAATTTTCCACATGAAACAATTTTCCTTATACTTTTCCATTTTCAATAAGTACCCTACTCTATAAAAAGAAAAGAAAAAAAAAACGTCATTTTACAAAAAAAAAATTGTTATATTTCATAAAACAAGAAGTATCTTACTTACCCTCTAATATATATGTGTAGAGGCTAATTAGAGATACCTACAACCCACATGGAGTAAAAATGGTAACTTACGAGTCAGTCGCTTATAAATGTTCACTGGTCTTACATAGTAAGTTTCGTACGTATCTTCATTATGCATGATTGTTAGTAAATTTCAAACTTATCTTTTTTTCTTTCTTTTTTTTGACAATAATTTCAAAACTTATCTTTATTATGCATAATGTTCAAACTTATCTTCATTATACATAGTTTAGTATACATTACTAATTCTCATAGTAATTGATCTAAAATTGAAAGGTGATCAGATTTCTTATATTTTGTCAATTCATAATTTTGAACATGTGAGAACTTTGATGTATTGCTTAATTTTGATTTCTTTTTTCAGTCTCCGCCCACCTCTATTAATTAGCATTTTATAGCTAATAATTTATTTCCTCATCCATTAATTTGAGAGAAATTTATATGTAATATAGTGCTGCAAAAGTTAAATATATCCATTTATTTTGTGTAACATACTGTTCTTTATCGGAAAGTTAACACCCCTATTAACTTCAAGACCCCCCAATGTCCCTGCCCTTAATGCTTCTCAAATATGCCTAGGACACTTGGCATCGAACCAAAGTGTTATTAAGCTTTTTGCGTTTTCACCATTAAAACAATTTTTTTTGATGGATTTGATGTGCGTTCGTAATTCTACATTTTAAAGCTGCAACTTTATATAAATTTTTTTCATTAAACAGTATGTATCATCTATATTTATTTGCTAATTTTAATTTGAAATTTAATTATTTGTATATTTTCTATTTATGTTTAATGCATCCACTAAAATATGTTGAACACATGCATTCAACTAGCTCAAGGTTCAAAATATCGTTGAGTTGACTCAGATGACACCCAGTACCCCGAGTTTCACTTATAAAAAAAAAAAGAAAAGCAAAAAGAAAATGACTTTTTTTTTTCCTTTTTTGGTTCATTAATTGATTCTTATCCATTTTAACCCCTAATTTTGATAGATTCTCACACCAATTAATCTATCTTAGCCCCAATTTAGATCCAAAATAAAGCTATTTGGATCAATTCTAGCTTTTGGTGATATGTTTTTCATCAAAATCTCATGATTTTTCAGCCATTAAAACCTAGTGATTCATTCTTGTATTTTCTCTCTTAACTCTCAATAAAATAATTTGAAATTTTTTTCATACTATCTGCCGTGGAACCTAATTGCATAACTGCTATAACAAATTATTAGATTGAAATGCATAATAGAAGAAATTAAAAGTCCAAATTTTGAGACTTTCTTGGAACCATAATAGAAAATTTTCAATCTCTCATTGTTTCACATATTCGCTAAAAATTGCCAGAGGATTATTCTATCGTATTGATCTACAAAACCCTAAGTAATTTTTTTTTTTTAAAAAAAATCAACACCAAGAATCTCATAGATTGAATTTTAATTTTTTTCTTTTATTCTCTTCCCACAATTTTTTATTTTGATTTATAGCTCCTATTATATGAAATCATATATTTGATTTTATATTTTACTCTTTTGTTATTTTTTGTCCTTTTTTCTGGCTTTTCTCGTTTTGTCATTCTTTGAGAAAAAAGATTAGCCGATCGGCCAAGCATACTCAGTGATTTAGCCAATTCAACTTAAGCGTACTTATCCAAAAGAACTCAAGACTGGTGGATGACATGTTCAACCTAGTGGTCAGAAATTTAAACACTTGTTCATCAAATTACAATGGACAGAAAAAGAGAACATTATTGTATTTTCATTTTGAAAAAACACCTTATGTTATTTTTAGAATAATATCCCTTTTTGTTCTATGGTACTTTGGCAAGTGCAAAACCTTGAAATAATGCTTTGTCTTATGTATAGAGGGAAAAGTGATGGGTTATTTATTCTATATTGAACATGTGAAAGAGCAAAATCTTGTTTAAATATGTGAAAATTCTCTTCGCTTGTGGTCTAAAAATCAATAGGAGAGAAACTTAAATAAAATACATGTGGCATGTGCACATATGCATGTGTATGAGTGTGATAGCACACTTTGCCAAAAAGTCTTAACCGTTTGCTGCCACATGATAGGTACATTAATCCCTTGATAGCACACTTTGCACAAAAAGTCTTTAACCTTTTGCTGTATGCCTTAGGTACATTAATCCCTTGATAGCACACTTTGCGCAAAAAGTTTTTAACCTTTTGCTGCATGCCTTAGGTACATTAATCCCTTGATAGCACACTTTGCACAAAAAGTCTTAACCGTTTGCTGCCACATGATAGGTACATTAATCCCTTGATACCACACTTTGCACAAAAAGCCTTTAACCTTTTGCTGTATGCCTTAGGTACATTAATCCCTTGATAGCACACTTTGCACAAAAAGTCTTTAACCTTTTGCTGCATGCCTTGGGTACATTAATCCCTTGCTATTACACTTTGCACAAAAAGTCTTAACCTTTTGTTGCATGCCTTAGGTAGGTACATTAATCCCTTGATACCACACTTTGCACAAAAAGACCTTGACCTTTTGTTGCATGCCTTAGGTACATTAGTCTCTTGATAGCACATTTTGCACAAAAAGTCTCAACCTTTTGCTGCCACATGTTATGCCTGGCGTACATTAATCCTTGGTGTATTTGGTGAGCCTTAGGTAGATTAATAATACCCGGTGGATTGGCGATGTAAGGGCCTTCCAATATATTGGGCTCCAGTGGATTGACACATCCGGTAAATAGTACCCAACCGATGAAGAAGCACATAGGAAGTGTGTCTTCTAGTGGATTGGTGCACTCCAGTAGTTTGTGTCCCTCTGATAGACGTGTGATGATTATTTTACTGGAACCCATAAGACACCGGCTGATTGTGGCAATTAGTTTCTTAGAACCCAAAGGGTCACCGCGTGACTGTAGGATATCTTGTTGCATGTCATCGTGGTAGACATGTCATTCTGATGGTGGAGATTTTGTAAGAAGCAAATCTTGACTTATGGATACTTGAATAGTTACACGTAGTAAGTCATTGGGCTCTGGTTGTCCCACCAGTGAAGACGCACATATGAAGTGTATCCTCCTATAGATTGGTGCACTCTACTAGTTTGTGCCCTTCGGTAGATGTGTGACGGTTCTTCTACCAGAAGCCATAAGATATCATGTGATTGTGAGCACAAGCTTGAACATTGCGGCGGTTAGTTTCCTATTGCAGGTCATCGCAACAGATGCACCCTTCTCACGGTGGAGATTTCGTGAGACGCAAGTCTTGACTTATGGGTACTTCAATAGTCATGTGTAGTTGCTCTATGTATAGAGACATGTTTCCTCTTGTTTGAACAATAAACTTACACACCAAATTTTGTTACTAGCACTCTTTCTATAGAAGAGAGGCAACTCCGATGGTCTAGATCGTCTAGAACTAGCAATACTTGTACATTTGCATTGGCAAGTTAGTATCTTCAATAATCTAGAACTAACAATACTTGTACATTTGTATTGGCAAGTTAGTATCTTCAATTATCTGCTCCTACATATCCTAATAACAGATTTGCTTCGTAGAAATTTAGATACACATTGCCTCGTAGTAATCTATGAATAGTAACCTGCAGTAAAAAAATAAAATAAAATAGAAATTAAATACAAGCAATGACATCAACAGGACAGCATCAAATTATTATTTTAAATAAAGTACTAGTATCTCCTTTGCACATATGACCTCTTGCCTTAGTGGTGGAGCATATGCCCTTCCTATCTTTACCGCATGAACTGAATTTAAAAATTCAGCTACAAGCATTTTTGTCTTGTGTTTTATTAGAGCATGTGACTGTTTCTCTACAACATGAAATCTCTGCAATAAGCATTCTTTTTTTTTTATTTTGGGAAAACTTCATAACAAGACTGTTTATTCTTTGTACCAAAAAGTCACATCTCTCATAGCTGTTAGAAGTGAAATCAGATGGTTAAAGACGTGTCATCTACTACACTCAAATTCCATATAAGATTTTTCCAAACTATATAAGGATTTTTTGAACTTTATGATACACTCTTAACCACCTAATTTCAAGATGTTGAGAGTAACAATGACCTTCTTGTACAATGGATAAATCGTCTTGTAGTGGACAATCCCCTTATTCTAGCTCATGTCTGAAGGTGTTGACAAGTCCAGCCTCAAAATCACTGAATCCATACTACAACACTTATCAGAAGACATCATGCAATTAGGTGCAATAAACTACAACCCCTAACACACTGCATGAGACTATATCTTGACCATCTGCTCAAGACTTCCTGGCTCTGACTAATGTAGAGCTCTTTTGGGTTAGTAGATATCGAAGTGAATAATCCCAATCATGTAACGAACTCAAATAATTCAATAGACATGAAGACCATAAAACACCAGAGCTCATGTTGTTCAATAATAAAAAAATATTTCCATTTGAATTCATATCTTTCTTTTGAGTTTGAACAAACTCATTTTATGTTACAGATTCTTTCAATACAATCAATGGAGTTACAAATTAATATATATGTGAGTCAATGCTATTGTTACATAGTATACATTTTAGCTGTTGCAAGAGAGGGAGTCATCGCAGCCTATTAAAGGCTTGATCAAACTCATTTATCTTAGAGAGCAGCATGGTTTTCTCTCTCTCAAGCTGAGAGATGTAGGCCTCTTGCTCTTCATGGGCACTTGCCATCTCATTCAAGGCTATTGACAGGCCTTCAAGATCACCGTCATCTGCCAAGCCCTCACACTTCCCTAACATATGTCGCATCTGCACATCCAAAAACAACATTAATAAGGGAATGCTAGACATTTATCAAGAAAATTGCCAAACCCATCGCAGGTACTTCATTGTCCTGCAATATTTTGAGGATTTCTCCAAAAAAAATAAAGGGATAACTGGTCACATTAAAAAGCTAGGAAATTGGGGCGTATATTATCAGCCAGGCGATTTGAGTCATTTGCATTGTTTGTATTGGGCTCCACAAGTACAATGATAATTTTAAGGATCCAAGAGATGATTAGTCTCATGGTTGTGCATGAACTATACGGCCCAATGAGAAAACCAAAAACATCCCAGCCTTACCCATACTCAGTCACCCAGCGTGTGATTCCATTTTTTACATTTTCCATTTTACCTTTGATTACTTTAGCTACTCTTTGAAACTCTAAATGTTTATTTAAAGTCTCACATCATGGCAACTATGATCAATAGTTGGTTCCATGGGATCCTTGTTCCTTCGGTTTGAACCTTGAAGCTTTGGGGTAGTCTCCTACTTCATAGAAGTTAAAAAGCACTAATGCTGATCATACAAATATTGTTGAATCTCCAGTGTCCACAAGACCCAAGAACACGACAGTACTGGTACATTGGTAATCCTAAAAATATATGGGTATTTTGATCATTTTTTTAACCTAATCAACTCAAAAAATATGACAAAAAATACGGAAATCTCTCAAACCTGTCGACACACTAGGCGCGCTTTACTGAGCACTGACATTTCGGGGTTTAAACTGTTGCTCTTCAGGATCTCAGGCACCTTGCGTGTTATTTGGACGTGAATCTCCCCATGCTTCACTCCTTGGAGGGGTATCCATTTGTCTGACGTTTGGTTGGGGGGCAACCTCTCATACTCCACCACACACTCTCCAATGCTTGAAGTGGGTAACACGGCATTGTGGTCCTTGACATGCAAAATTAAGGGGCTGCCGTTGTCTGGGAACTCTAATATTTGGTTCCATTGAGGATTGAGTGTCTTTTGTACAACCTGCATGGTGTACAAGGAATAACATATAAATATGAATTATTTTTTATTTATATTTTGTTTTGTCCTTTATTTCTTGTATCATAATCACATTCTTGCCATTTACTCCGATTAAACAAACATATTCGTCGCACCTGAAGCTACTAAACTAATTCGGTTGTTCTATCAAGATACTCTTCCGAAAGAGGAGAATAGCACTTATGGAAATCTAAACCCTTGTCTGAAACAGTGAGAGCAGTCAAACTTAGCAATGGCAATAAGCATTGAGAAAAATGATTAATTACAAGGGCATAATGCAAGCCCACCTCAAAAGAAATTAGTAGAAGTACGGTTGAATGATCAAGAGACTGTTTTTCCTAGGGAACACACTAATGAAATGAACATCTATAAAACAGAATACAAAGTTGCATGCATGCATGATCATACAATTACGTACTCCAACTCTTCAATAAATGATTCCAAGAAACGAAAAATTGATTAAAAGAATATACTTCAATATGCATTATATTTACTAAAATGCCCCAAATATTTAGTATGGAAACTATGGTATGATGCAATGTTCTAGGACTTGGCCGAGTCAACTCGGACTTGGTGGGGTTTCTCAGGCTAAGTACTTGAGTAAAACTTGGGATACTTAAAGAAAATACAATAAATCATAAAAATTATATTAAATTGGGGATCAGTGTATCAATATTTTACATGTAATTTGGATGTTTTTGAAGACAATTTGTTTTCCACTTTTTTTGGATCTTTTTGAATAGTTCTCCAATAGTAAATCAACTTCTTCCAAATTCATGTTTTATATACTTTTTCCAGCATATTTGGAATTTCTATATTTTTTTTGGTTTATTTTGAATTTAATTATTATTATTTTGTTTTTAACAATTTGTTTTGAACTTTTTGGGGCTTTTTTGGTTCTATTCCTATATAATACTCCAATGAGTCAACTCAGATTCGCCCAAGTTAACTCATCTCGGGCAGCCCCTGACTCCCAAGCTGAGCCCAGTTTTAGAACCTCGTCTATGATCCATATAATCCTCATAGTATGGGGCATAATACAGAATTAATGGCATGTTTGTTACTACCCTATCTCCCTCTATCACTATAATTAGCCCTGATGACCAAGTTGGCATGATGACCACTTGGATCATGACATACTCGACCACACTTGAGTAATTGTGTTAGACAACTTTAGTGGACCTAGCATCCACACAATATGGTGCATAACGTTGAGGACCTCATTGTGACCATAATCAATGTAAAAAATGAGGCGTCATCCATCTTAAAGTGGATATTGAGTGAATGAGCACAGAAGGAACAGGTGCTTATTTACGATAACTCATCGCCATGCTGTCATGATTACCCTATGGATTCATACTGTGCTTTTCCAAACTGAATATCCTTAAGTTATAAACTCAATGGCCTGTGGCATGTGCAGAACATGCCAAATAAGGATGAATACCTCCTTACAACCATGATCATAATCCCTATAAATGACGATGTTTCATGGATTTATCACTTCTCTATCTCTTATTCTCTCACTTTCCCAGAACTCTCTCTCTTTCTGCAATTCAGGTTTTTCATTCAGTCTTTACCAAATCCCAAGTCCTCTCCTGTGTCGACAAACAAACGATTCCTCTATCTCTCACACACACAATGATTCATCTTTTGAGCCATTCATGATCCTTCATGCAGAATGGCAAGATGAGGAGTGTTAGTTTCTCACTCTTTCTTTGTGGCATGAGCGCCCACTCCAATTGGGTCTTGATAGGCAAAATCCACCATCTGTACTTATGCTTGGTGAAAAGAAGAGATTTCATCTATTTAAATTGCTTATTGATCGAAAAGAGACCAAAGGAATATGTGCTTATTTAAGACACTTAGGACACCTTACCCACGCCTCTGCTTCCACCTCGTCGGAGCTGCCTTCTTAACTAACATTCCATGGTAAAGCAACGAAATATGAATGCAAGCACAGAACAACAGTGGGTATATTGAGGTCTAAAACTAACCTTTGTTCTTTTCTTGATGTTTCCATACTGCACCCTCACATAAGGATCACTGGTTCCCCTCCAATCAGCGGCAATCATGTCTCTTGCTTCAATGAGAACAAGCTCAATCCAACCACTCACTGATCCAGTAGTACCCTGCTTGCATATTCATAAAGCTTTCAATCAGTTCCTACTAGATGACACAAATAAAGTATGCAAATTTGATGGGAACCATTCAAATAAAAACAAAAATTATGGTAGTTTTGATAATCAAGGTAATCTTAGCAATTTAAAGTTTTCAAGCAACGAACTCCAATAATTTTCCATGAAACGTAGCTCATGGATTCTAATCAATTTGATGGGTATATGCAATTTAAAGTAGACCTTCTGACTATCATTGTATTCAAAAACAGATGCTTCAATTTGCAGTCTCAACTCTCCCGTATTCGCTTTCTCAAGAGGAACCCAAATATCCCTAACGGAACCTTCAACCAGTCCTTCTAGGTTCACTCTCGCACTTCCTATGCCAACATCTCCAAAAATATCGGAATTGTAGCACTTTACTTTGAGATATTCACCATCACCTATTTCATCAAATTCAAATTTCTGGTTCCACACTGGATATGAACCATGTGAGACTGTCCTCGTTTTTGACAAAACCTGAGATGAAAATAAAATTAACTTGATGTTATATAGAGATATAGAAAATGGTTGTATCAGTGGAAGCTTCAAGTAGAATAAGAGAGGTTTTCCCATTCACCAGTCCAACTAAACTTCTAGTGTTTCAATAATGAAACTTTCAGGAATGATGGAAAAGGAAATTTAGATGTTATCAAGATCACCAACCTTCCCATACTGCAATTTCACATAAGGTTCACTCTTTCCCGACTTGTCTTTTCCTGTTAGATCCCTGCCTTCGACAACAGTAACAATGAGATTCCTTCCTGTCGGTTGAAAATATTGTGAACCATATGTAGATTGAGAACTAAAATTGGAGGAACCATTCAGGCTCTTCATGGCATCAGCGAATTGCCATTCGTTCAATACGAACCTTACAGTTATCTGAAAAAGAAAATCAAAAGATCCAATTCTCAAGGGTTTCTAAAAAGAAATTTAAAATTCATCTAACAAAACCAGGAAGTTGATTTTGGACTATAATGGATAGAACTTATTACATCGAAACATTGTGATTCATTGAAATCATTACATATCTTCTATTCAAGATATATATTCTGATATTCTGGTTCTGAAAATTTCATACATCATACACAAATAGACAAAGCAATTTCAAAATCTTTTGGAAAGATGGTATACTAGGTTTTCTAGGTTTGTCGAATATCAGTGTCTCACAAGAGCTCCTTTTTCATCTGAGGTATTAAGATTACAAATTCTCCCAAGAATTATAACACTTGTTAGGGCCTACATAGAGCTAAATCCCATTAATCATGCTCAAGTATTCATTTATGAAACAAATCAATTAGAGAAATTGAATCTGTTTCACATAATATAATCACTTTAAAGACATGGTGGCCCCTTAGATAGGAACAAATAACTATATCACAGTAATTTGAAATCAATAATCAATGAACAATACCTTCATGTAAAACAACCCATTTAAAACAGGACAACTCTATCACATGGCATGTATAGATTGAGTTCATAACCTCACTTTGAGTATTTGAATTGCATCTACGATACATTAACCGATTAGAAGGATCATGGGTAATAATTACTTAGAATATCGTCCACTAAAATAGAACTTTGTAAGTACTAAAAATAGAACTTGAAGAAAGAAACAGGATGAACCACCTCCCCTGAATCAGTTCCCTCAAAGGGAACAACCATTTCAACCTCTTTCCCACAATATTCAGCATGCTTCGCCACTACACTAGATCCAGGTCCAATTGCCCAAAATGTTGTAGAATCATCTGCAACATATTTCATCTGTTCACAGAAAACATGTATACCTCATAAACATCTCAGACATAACCATTGGTTGGAAGCAGGAAAAAACATGTAAACTGGAAATTCATAAACTTATCTCATTTCTCATGTATAATCATCAGAGTTAAAGCATAGATGATGAAAGAGAAAGAAAAGAAGTGAAACTTTACTGCAGTTCAATGGACTGTGGAAAACCACATCCCATTGTGAAACTTATAGTTAGTCCTTGGAAAACCATAGTGCATTTGGGTAATCACTGTCCCAATAAAATGATGGACTATGATGAATGTGGGACACACCAAAACAGACCTGAGCCAGATGGTGGTTCCCATTGTCTCTATATGTATATCCATCCATCACTATAGCTGACACTGATGGCCCCAACTGACTATTGCTTTCAATAGTCCATTGGACTGTGGTATATTCCCCCCCCCCCACCCCCAACCCCAAAAAAACAAAACAAAAAGAAAGAAAGAAAGAAGAAAGCATCACCTTTATTTCACAGCTGGATAAGTAGTCATACTTCACATTGCCGGCACTCCATTCATAGAGATGGAACACCACAGCTCCAGCTTCATCATGTAAGACCATGTTAAAAGTAGCATTCCATTCAGGGCTTGAACCCTGCCTCACATTTGTCCTCCGAGTAAGACCTCCAAGCTCTACTTCTACAAAAGTTTGCAGAATTTTATCAACTCCATTTCCTGATGATTGATGGTTTCCTAGGGAGTTCGGCCGTTTTTCACAGAGACCACTTTTTACGCCCCCTCTGACCAGTCTACTAGCCTTAACAACTGTAACAGAAAGGAGACCTGCAACGGCCTTTTTCCTTAGATCAACCGATGGTAATGAAAAACATCTCCTACGAGGCTCAACCATTGTTTTAACTAAGGTGTCTGTGAAAACCTTGACCTGTTTGGAACAGAAAGAAATCTACATTTTATCAGGAACTTCAATCTTTTCTTGCTCTGATACCTAGAAAATGGCATGCCCTTCCACAAGGACAGTATATCAAAGGGAAACATATTTTAATCGAATGGACTATGTAAAAGTAGCCCATTGAGATCATCAACATCTAATTAAATGATCTATGGGGTGTGTGTGCGTGTGTGTGAGAGAGAGAGAGAGACCCAAAGCCCCAATATCTCTACATCACCACATCATTTCATTGGAAAGTTAGGAACCAATGGACAATGGTTTTTCATAGTCCATCAGATTATAAATACATTCCCCACATAAAATAAATTTACAAGCCAAATTTATGGGTTTAAGGGACAATTGCCACACCCACCAGCCATGACGACACGCCAGGAAATTCTGTTGCGGGAAGAGATTGGCTCCCACCACTTCCAAAGACAACACCAATCCTCACATCAGGTGTTGTAGCAAATGAATACAACACAGCTTGTCCATCGAGAATTGGTGCAAGGCGTAGCTGTGTACAATAATAATATTAAGATATAATCGTAAATGACACTATGGGATTCTTAGTTTCCAGTGCCTTAGGCAACTTAGAAATTGTTTTTAAAAAAATGTGCTTCAATACAATTTAGAAGTGGCAGTTCTATCCTTAACAGATGTCAATATATCAGTCACTGTTCCTTTAGTAGTGCATGGCATGGAAGTTATTTCAGCACGTTATTCACATTACAACAAAGATGACAGGTAAAGGGTATTCTACTTTTCTTAAAAAGGGTTAGTTAGGTTATTGTACAATCTTCATCAGGAATTAGATAAGTCAGCACAGTCCATCACCTGGCTGAAGACCCAGGTTCCAAGGGAAGAATTATTTAGAGTTAAGTATCTAAAATAAACAAAAAATCTTCCCCATGACAATTCCTTATTTTGGTTTCTCAAAAATAAACTTTTATAAATACTAAATTGGAGAGGTAAGCACGAGATTAAGTTTTTTAGAAGTAGTTGATTTCATGGAAACTGGTATTCTGGATCTCTAGAAAATGAGGATCCTGTCACTCAAACTACAATCTGATTAAGTCACATGATTTACATTTTTCAAAGAGCAGCATAACATGCTACAAGAAACAATAGCAGCCGAGGTTTCTTTAGGAAGTAAAATACTAATTCTAATTGTTACGTTATTAGCTAGTTAATAATAAATAAGCTATATCAAAATACCAAACTGTACGTAAGAACCGATAGAGAAAACTGAAGATAATCCCATGTTCGCAGCACTTCAATAGTTTGGATAACCTTTTGCTTCCCAAATGTAAAGTGCATATTAAGAGAAATAATCAGGTGGGCGGACAAAGATCTTGATGTCACCTTGCATTTACAAATACGAGAAATGTGTACTTTAAACAAATATAATATAAGAACTATTAATTAATCTTGGTAGTAGACAAATTCTCACTAATCTCCAATCATGTTCTCGTTGAGAGCTTTCTCAATTTGTATTCCAAAGTAATTTACTCAACAAATAGCGTGATTATCAAAGTATACAAACATATCCAACTTTGAAATGTGCTTCTGATTCCTCACTAATCATATAAATTTCAAGAATAGAAGATCAGATAGCGCCCATTGCCAAATCTATTTCTTGATTAACTAAATGAAGAAGATCTTTTGAAACTTAAAGAAAGGCAAGTACAATGCAATTCGACATACATCACCCTTTATATGCAAACTGTTGATGACAATCCGAGCAGTTCCAAGCAATGGTTTCGCCAATTTTGCAGAGAACATTATGTTCACGTCATCTGTGTCCCAATCAAAACCCGTGTGCATTATACGCTGCAACAATAGATCAGAGGAATCACTAACCAAAAATGTTAAGATAGTGACAAATAGTTAAAGTCTACTTCTTTGCACATTGCATATGGTGCCTTGAATTGTAATACAAATAAACAGTGAATGTTGACAAGACATGTCAGCAATGTTGACAGGACATGCATTTTTGTTGTTATAATGTTTGGGAAGACATCAGAAGCAACATGAGCAGATTCTGAAAGTGTAATGTCTATCTTACTTTCATAAGAACTTTCCTGGCAAGAACTGCATTTTTTCACAGGTAGCCATTTTAAAAGTTGATACAATGGCCATCTTGCAGCAATATATAACATAATTGTTTATATGTTATCAAAAAAAAATACCAGCATCCATTAAATATGAAGGAAAAACTCATTGTCGAACTTGACAGTGACACAGTAAAAAAATAAATTAACCGAAACAGCTTCTGAGAGTTGGATATACTTAAAAAAAATTTGATGTAAATATGTATATATTATTTTGGCATTCTATGAACTTGTTCAAGGGTAGTATTGCACATTGCTCACCATCAAGGCGTTGTCTACAAGCTGCCAATTGCTCCTCTTCTCTTAAATGGTCATCCTCTACCAACAATTGCAATCGATTAAAATAGATGTGTTTCACACATCCTTATTCGAGGGTGAATGTAATTAACAGAGTGTCTACAGGTGCCATAGGACTATATAAGCTAGAAATAAAAAATCCTTGTGCAAGAATACCTGCCTGGGTCATGTTGGTCATGTTCAAAAGTTTTGTACTATTATATCACTTGTGCAGTCCAGTACCGACTCCTGAATTGGCCCAAACCTCCTTACCCTTCCTTTGATGATCTACACCTCATCTTGCTTATTTGTGAGAGTATGTGTATCAACACCTCGAAGTCAGAAAACAATCCACAACATCTTCCATCAACCTTCACAATGGGAACTCCAATAGCACCTTTCCTATGGAGTGGATGACAAAGCACACATGATTGGCATGGAAGTGGATGTTTTAGGCAAGGCAGAGGTAGAGGGTTTCCAAACCAAAGCCTAATTCCATAGTGACATTTCAAATCTATGGTAAAAGAAATCACTGGTAAAAGAATCCATTCAGCTTGTGATTGTTACCAAAGATTTGCTACCGCAGCTCCCATCAACTGCAGCGCAATCTAGTTGATCATGTAAATTCCCTCACTCTTGACTCCACCAAAAGCTCCCCAGGTGAAACTTTCTGGACCTTGACTCTGGTGCTACTAGTTAGATTGCTAAGTACATATCTTGTCGCCAAACCCAGTTCCCTACAAAGGTATGCGTTCTGTCATAACTGGTGATTAATCATCTTTACCATTATCTCATACTAACACAGCCCTAATATCAATTGCTTTGCAAAAATTTCAAATACCTATTGTTCTTGTGGTTCCCCAAGTCAAGAAGAATCTAATATCAGCATGTCAACTTACATCTGAATTTAAATACAAATTTGTATTCTTTCCAAATTTTTTGTTTTTAAGCACACACAAGGCTACCCTTCTCCTAAAGCTCCGGGGGACCACCTACCACTAGTCCTCGGCAGGAGGACCAAGAGACAGGGATGCTGGTTGCAATATGTCAGTCAAGAAAAATGGGCATTATGTTTTAGAGGATGATAATGTTTTTTATCTTACAGTAGCCACCCAAGGTGACCTAGCAAAAACTCTTCTATAGAATTTTGGCATCGGTGAATTGGACATCCTAGTTTGAAGAAGGCCTTGGAAAGACTGGTAGATGATGGCTTGATTTCCATTTGTACTAATCAGCTTGCTTCATTATGTTACTAGTTCTCAGTTGGGTGAGCATGCACAACTGCCCTTCTTTTGTGATGAACATGATGAAAATATTATCTTTAGACCTTTTGACTCTAAATTCTGATGTTTGGGGCCTTCAATTGTGGATTCTATGCATGGACGTTGTTATTGTCTCTTTTATTGATCACTACATTAGTTATACTTTATTTTTTCTTATTAGACATAAATATAAATTTTTGGATTGTTTTAGACTTATTTCAAACCAAGGTTAGAAATTATTTGGGAAACACATTAAAGTATTGATATCCAATCATGAGGGATAATATACATTTACAACGTTAGTTTCTATGTACAGTAGTAAAATGGAATTGCTGAATAAAATAAACTACAACTTGTGGGGTTTGCACTAATGATGATGCTTGATTACATATTCGTTCCTTGAGGGAAAAGGCTTTCCTAGTAGCAATCTGATAATTACTCACTTTCCTACATCAGCACTTTAAGGAACCACTCCATATTACAAATTTTAAGAAATCATTGCTGATTACTCACGATTGTGTCTATCTGGCTATCAATTCTTCACTTCACAATAGACTTTAGCCTAAAGCAGATCAACAGGTATTCATTGCCTACAGTCTAGACCATAAGGTTTACAGATGCTGTATTCCCTCAATACAGAGAGCCAATTCTTCTTGCCATATTACCTTTGATGAGGCTAATCCATACTATTCTTCCTCAGATACTAACTTGCACCCCTTTCTTTTACAGTATTTATTTTGAAAGTATTTGAAAGTATAAAGGTGTCTATGAAAGGGGAAGAACATGTAAAGATGAGTGCACCACCACCTCTTGGACCTCTTCTGATTACGAAGACTTATGCATCGCAACCATTACCCAATGAGGTAAGTAAGTCCACATTGAAGAGGTCTTATTGTGATGCCTCAACAGTCTCTCCCAGTGAAATCCTTGTGCCAAAACTTCCTAGTCTTGCTCCTGTAAAATCTCAGTGCATCTCCACACTAGTGAAATCCATACATGGGAGTCAAGAAGGTAGAGAAGAACCTATCTCAGACAACATTGTATCATCTCGACGCATCTCAAAACACTAGTCCCTTCTTCACCTATCCATTCCATGAGGTTAATTTATACTGAACACAAAGCTCATGTTATCCAATGGAACAATATGTCTCTTTTGCTAGCTGCTCTAATGAGCATGGGGTGTTTATGTTATTTGCATTGAAAGTAAAAGAGCTGATGTCATAGGAAGAAGCAATCCAAGATCAATGACAGAGAAAAGCTATGGAGGAAACAATTAGAACCTTATACCAAAATGAAACTTGAGAGCTTGTTCCACCACCTCAAAAGAAAACAAAAAAAAGAGGTGAATTCCAAATGGGGTTACAAAGCAAAACTTAAATAAGGTGGAAGTGTAGAAAGGTTCAAAGCTCGCCTAGTAGTCAAAGGATACAATCAAGAGTAGGGATTGGACTATGAAGAAACTTTTAGTCCCGTGGTCAAAGCTGTAACCATAAGGGCTAGTGTTGCTCTAGTGGTCATAAAAGGATGAGAGCTCAACTAAATAGATGTGAAAAATGCATTTCTCCATGGAACATCGAAGGAATAAGGCATAACTTTCTAGGTTTGTTGACATGATTATTAATAAAGGCAGCTCAGCAATACTCTTGTAAATAGATAATACGATTATTACGTAAAACAACAAGTTGGATATTGAGAAACTAAAAACAAAGTTGCGTGCATCCTTTGAAATGAACGACCTTGGAAGATTAAATATTTTCTTGGTATAGAAATACATAGATTCTCAAGTGGGTTAGTTTATCCTAACAAAAATATGCAATGGAATTGCTTGAAAAATTTGGCACGTTGGAGTTTAAACCAATAGGAATCCCAACTCAAATAAGCCAATGAAGGGGAGTTACTTCAGAATCCTATTCAATATAGAAGTTTAATTGGAGGGCTTTAATACTTGACCTTCACATGGTCAAGCATTGTCACGCAGTCAATACAATTTGCCAACATATGCAAAATACAAAAACCGCATATTAACTAAGACTATATAACGGGAAAATTGAGGTATGTCAAAGGAATACTAAATTCTGATCGTCTATATATCTCACAAGGGGGACTTAAACTAACAACTTTCTCTAATGCTGACTAAGCAAACTGTCCTAATGATAGAAGGTCAGTTCCTAGCTTTTGCATATTCTTAGGCAGAAATTTCGTACCATGTAGTAGCAAAAAGCAGAAAACCAAACTTGAAGCAGCATATAAATCTATGTCTCTTGCAACTTCAAAAACAAAATGGTTGTCCAATCTATACTCAGAAATGGGTAGTCACCTAGAGAATCCAAGATAAGTGCACTGTGATAACCAAATTGCTATCAAGATATCAAATAATCTAGAACAGTATTGGAAGGCCAAACATCTTGTTGTTGACCATCACTACATAAGAGAAATGGTTTGTGATAATAAAATTATTGTAAAGCATATAAGTACATCAAATCAAGTTACAGATATTATGATCAAGACTCTCACTAGGGAAAAGTTATTTCGTGATAGAGACAAGCTTTCCATGTTACCATGTCAGCTTGAAGGAGTGTGATAGAATATCTTTAACATACACTTGGTGTTATTGTATTAATTGTTTGAGAGTACTATTGTACATTACCCCCAATGGGGCTGGCTAATGTATCCTAAAGTGGTGAAATGAAACATAAAGAGTTCATTATTCCCCAAAACCTTGCAACTGAGTCTTCAGTTCAGGTTGTATTCTAGTGAATCATATAGGCCTTTCTCTTGTTATAGCAGGGGTACAACTAGTATCATTTTAGGACTATAATGGACATTCTAGGACCATAATGCACACGAAGATCCACTAAGATTGATATAAATGGTACAGCAATAAGGTTCAAAGACTAATAAGTCTGCTAGGAATCAGTTTATGCAAAAAAATTCAAACGAACAATATAAATAGTGAGACAACAACACTTAAACTCTCTCAAGGAGGATAAATTATATAGGCCTTGTAGAATGATTCAATTTGAAAGATGCAAGTTGGAAAACCCTGCACCCTCCCCCCCCCCCCCCAAAACAAAAAAAATGTTTTTGCATATTATTCAAAGGGAAATGACCTTGTAAGACCCTCCCACACCCATGTGTGTAGGACCCCAAAGGATCACCATTAAATTTGGCATAGATCTCTAGAAAAGTCAAGTCCTACAACCATGTGATAACTTTTCTAGAGATCTGTGCCAAATTTAATTGTGATCCTTTGGGGTCCTACACGCATCGGTGCGGGAGGGTCTCATAGGATCATTACTCTTATTCAAAATGTCATTGTTTTCATGCACTGTCATATACACGAGTAGATGGGTATAAGGCATCAATATACACTTGAAAGAAAGTAAGCATGATCTATTAAAAGCTAGATAGAAAAAGAACTTAAAGAGCAATATAGAAATGGGTACACAGCCAAAAGTATTAAATTGCAAAAATATCTTTAAATGCATAGAATATTTTGTACTCATTTATACGTTCTGCTAGGTAGCAATCATTTTTAACCAAAGTAAACACCTTTTAAAAATTAAAAGAGCAGCATATAACAACCAAAGAAATGCTTTATCCAACTGGCAAGAGCCCAATATGAAATAGTAAAATAGTAGCAAACACAATGAAGGGATTTCTTACAACATGAATTACAAGACGATTCAAATGCCAGAAACCTAACCTGGTCGCCAGTAGTTGACCAGTATGTACCTTGTGACCCTATGATGGGTGGGCACGACCCTAGTGAGAACTCCTGTAAATCAAGTTTTTGCTGAAAAGAAAAAATCCTTATTATATACTGGACAATGGAACCTCATAATAAAACTGCATTCATCATAAGACAAGATGAAGTAAATATTATCAAAACAAAGGATGAACATAAATATTACTGACAATTAGCTTTGGTTTCCGCAATTTCAGACGTTTCTGCAAGAGCAAAGATTTCATCCAGTTAGATAGAAATAATGAGCAAATATATGGCACAAAATAACTTAGAAGTCATAAGGCCTCACAATTATGCATTTTGAAGTATGACAGCTATACATTCTGAAGTATGACATGCATTTCTTTCATGTATAACCTTTGAAGCATAATTCTAAAACAATAACTAATTAAATCATCCAAGCTGTTCCATTAACAGAGTTGAACAGGACATACTTCCCAGATTGACTAGCACAACCGAGTAGTTAGAATTAGTCTCCATTCTAAAAAGCTTTGAAACTAATAAACAATTGATAAGGTAATGTAAAACTAAGAAAAATAGTGAGTTTTGTCTTCTTTAGGCACCCCAGTTTGCTGAATCATTATCAAGCAAAAATCATAGGGTGAAGTTCCTACCAGCCTTCATTAGAACCATGAGCCAAGTAAAGAGGTGTGTAATCTGGAAGATCAAATTCAAGAGAGAATTCGACCCTTAGCTGATCAAAAAATGCAGAGGAAGGAGAGACGAATCCACAAAGAATTGACAATTGGGATTAACCTGCAAGTTCTAAGTATTTTCCCAATAGTTCCAAAGAAGATCATTGTTAAAGGCCACCCTGTAGTTGTAAATTACCCTTGTCCTTTGCAAGAAATTTATAACCGGCCTTTGAGAAATGATATAAAGTCCTTCTCATCAAACACATCAATATGTTATGTGTCAAGATATAAACACATTAAACAAATTTTGATATAGAGACAATTCTAACAAAACCACAACCATGTGGATATGTGGGTGGCGTGCTTATATAGGCTATTGCAAAAGCAAAAAAAAAAAAACAAACAAACAAAACAAAAAAAACAAAAAAAACAAACAAAACAAAAAAACAAAACAAAACAAAAAAAAAAACAAACTATGTGTGCATGCATGCAATTTTTCAGAAAATGCTAGGCGGCCAGCCAAGCACCCAGTGCCCAGCACCTAGGCAGGCACCCAGAACCTCAGGCGCTCTGAGGTAAAAAAGTTCAGGAATATGCATATACATGCTGTCCAAATGCACATATAGGCAGATATTTCTATTAATTTTGTATTTTTTGCATATATATCTATATTCCAATTAACTTTTTCATGCAAATATTTATGCATGAATATTGAAACACGTTTAAAACTTCATTATTGAAAATTTAGTGAAAAAACATAACAAGTCCATAATGTATCAGTCACCAACTCTCCAATTCATACCATACAATGACACACAATTACACGAACATAGACAGTCACGTGGACTACAAGTCTCCAATAAGAGTAGGAAATCAATCATCCAAATGTCCAATACAAGATGATGCAACATAAAAGACAAGATGAAATACAGTAGAATAGAGAGGAGATCTTTGATTCTTCAATCGTCAGTAGTTAGAATCTTCGTAATTACTAACACCCTTAAACAATTCCACTAATAAAGGGTAAGCTTTTGGATGCTTCTTCAAACATCAAGCGTTTCTTTTTTTTCTTTTTTTTCTTTTTTTTTCCGATTCAAAGAAATATGCTAAATCAATCGATTTGGGGTTTTTGTAGGGTTAAGATTTGATTTTTTCAACTTTGGGGGTTTAGAATACCCCAAACACCCTTTTTAGTATATTTAATGGGTCAAAATGCCCAAATTGCCTTTAGGGGCTACTTTGTTTCCACAAACACAGGCACAAGCCCTGGGTGGGTGCCCAGGTACTGGCGCCAGGAATGGAAACGCAGGTCTAGGCATGCGATCTAGGGCCCTTTGGGCACCTAGGCATTTGGCGGCTGGTTTTCTTAAACAATTTATGCATGTTGTGCACACAATCTTCTTTCTTATTTTTACAGTCTTATCATAATATGTCAAAAAAATGAAAATATCACTTTTTCGCAGTGTTAACATGTTTAGGACATATGACCTTGATTCAAGACTGATAAATTTCAACGGCAACAACAACAGCAGCAGCAACAACAAGAGCAGCAAACATAGGAGTTAAAAGATTATATAAGCACACAGGCTTAAAATTGTAAGCCACTTCAAGCTAGAAGAGTTTGTTTTTGCATTCATCTAAACCTTGCGTAGGCATAAAGAAAAAAGTAAGAAACCTCACATATGCATAAAGAAAAAAAATGTGCATGTGTGTAAGAGAGAGAGAGAGAGAGAGAGAGAGAGAGAGAGAGAGAGAGAGAGAAAGTAGAAGAAAGTAGTATACTACTACTGTCGTGGTAGTAGTAGACGACGTACCGTACCGTACTTAGTAGACGTAGTGTAGGTAGGTAGTACGTACGGTACC